AAGCTAAGACGTCGACGCGCCCTAGCTGTTAGGGAAATACAAGCCACCACACACCTCTCCGACTCACACACGTGCACACACACACACACGCACTCGTCAAACACGGCCACTACTCTGCTGTGTGAAGGAAGTACTAAACTGGGGCGACAACCACAACATCTCTCTCTCGCTCTCTCTCTCTCTCTCTCTCGCCTCTTTTCTGGGAAGAAGAGGCGCCAAGCAGTGGACCTGGAGGGTGGCGCTGGGGAGGGTTTAGCTTTACACATATGTGGGCGGGGGCGACAAATTAGCTTCCGGACACGACTCAGCGAGCAGACGACACGACGACCGCACTGCCAGAAACATCACCCCAGAGTTGCAGTGGCTGTCCGCGAAGGAAACGAATCCACTGAGTGTGAATTTCACTCTCTCATCGACAATTTATTCGACGAAATTAATGGTTATTATTCACAACTGTAAATAAGCTAATGTGTGCGAATATTTAGTCGCACATCCACATATACCTCCGTGTGTCCGACATTTCGTAGAATAGGAAGTTTGTATCGTTTCCATTAGTATACAGTTATCTATAATAAAAGCATGATTCCAAATGCTACATTACAAATTTTGTTCTGCATATGTTCACAATTTATTTTCATGGAGGTTGGATCCTTTTTTCACAGTGCATTTAAAACGGTCCACGTGTTGTCTCCCTTTTCGAATAATTCTCCGGACACTGGGACGCATGCCGTGTTTCGCCACGTACGGCGTTCTGTTTCTGTGAGGTAGACAACATCACCCTGCATCTTTGCACTCTGAATGGCATATGCGGGCCGGGGGGAAGGGGGGGGGGAAGACGCGTGGTTCCGAGAAGATGACTTTTATGTTGCCCTTTTATTATTGCTGACAAGGAGCAGGAGCCAGGCGCCACCTGCGACTCGGCCCGTACGCCTCATTTGCATTCGTGTGACAGGGTAGGACTCTGGTCCTCGTCAGAGACACGCCCACCGGCGGCTAATCAGCTGTCTGCGACTCAGCCGCCCGGCCGCAGCCAGAGCTGTGTGGGAAACGGCGTGGCATGTATTTACGAAACAATCACTACGCGTTCTCAAAATTCCGGGACTTGTTCCGATTTGTCATTGCCAGGAAAACGAGGGGTGGACGACTCGAATTTGGGAGGGTCAAAGGAGCACTGGTTACACCCGCAGAACATCCGGAGTACGTCCGGAGTACTCTCCGCCCGCACAGAAAAACCTATGACATAAACTGTGAAAAATATCGTCGTACATTTACAAAGTTTTTGTAAACTGTAATTATACCTAAAGCTGTAAATTTACGAGAGTACATTTTTTATTCGTGAATAAATTTTAAGTCGATACGTACTGCATGTATTTTTACCGATTTTTACGATTACAAATTGTAATTTTACAACTTGTCTCGAGGAAAATTTTCCTTCAAACTTCCCTACTACTTTTCAGTGATATTATTTTGTCAGGAATACCTTGGATATTTTTCTAGAAGTTCTAGGAGATTCTTTGAAACATGTCGGTATACAGTGCTTTTGTATTCCTCCTTGATTTTCAAAATATAAGTCATAAAAATACAGCCCATTGCGCGCGACGCCTCTGTGATGCTCTGGCGTAACAGCAGCGGCGAGCTGCTTGCATCAATAGTTATGAATTATTGAAGAGAACGCGTAGGACGGAGATGGTTCAGAGAG